AGAATACCTGCCACCTTTCATTTCATACTCTTTTGTCCTTGTTTTCCTCTGAAAATGTAGAAATTAAAATACACAAGACTATACTTTTATGTGTAGTTTTGTATGAGTATGGAAGTTGATGCCTCACTTAAGGGAAGGACATAGATTGAAGGTGTTTGGGCATTGTGTGTTGAGACTATTTTGACAAGAGGGCAGGATATGATGAGAAATGGAGAACATTGTATAGTGAAGTTTATGAATTGCATTTATCACCAAATTTATTAGGAAGTTGAAGTCAAGGAGGGCAAGTTATGTGGCGTGTGTAGCAGGATGGGAGTGTTCAGAATTGTGCATTTTCTTGGTTGAGCTGATCATATGTGGAAGTTGATTATCACTGTAATGAATTTCAAATCAGTCTTTGTAAGTCAGTAAGGGCTGTGAAAAGCCACCGAGTCAATGAACAGGGGATGTAATATACCCCATAGAGATTTTGAAGTCCCATGACTTAATGCTGTGTATGTTTTTGAATAGGCAGAATCAAGTAGTTTGTGAAGTGGTTAATGAAAAAAAGTGGGAATTATGCTTTATATGTGAGCAGACTGGTGGAGAGGTGATAGAGACAAGTCCGCCTGGTGCGCGCGTGCCTCCACCTGGTACTGTCCAACAGAGACCTGCTCCACCTCCATTTTATATGAACCAGCAGCAGCTGCAGATGTTGCAGTATTTGCAGCAGCAGAATTCTGTTAGCCTTGCACCTCAGCAGCAGGTAAATGTTACATTCATTTTTCCAGAGAAAACTTGAGATTAGCAATCTCAGGATGAAGCCATGTTAGCCTGTTATGAATAACACAAAAGAGAATCATCATCGTCATCCTCAGAGATCTTCATAATTGTCTTCATCCTGTGGGTTGATATTTCCTTCCCTCTTCATTAAGTTGTCTACAGCGCATAAGAATATAACACATTATGAGGACTTTAGGCCTGTCCAACTGTCTGTCTAGATGCGTCATCTGCAGAAGTACTTCGCAGATTTAATTGTAATTGCATATTTGAGGCCCCACACTGAAAGTTGTATGGCATAATTAATTGTATTTATGTTAATTGAATGTATTTCCAACTTGCAGGAAACTCTTAATTGAAATAAGTAATTTTTTCAAAAACGTCTCATCACCGTACAGAAAATCTGTGCATGTCATGTTGTACAATACAAATGGCTTGCAACTTTTATTGTAAATATTAAACAGATACAAGAAAATGTGAATTGACTGCATATGTTTTGGTGGTTACAGTGGGATGAGCTTTGTGACATTTGCAGTAAATCAGCATGAAGTTTAATGAGGGTTACAAAATACTAGAGAGTGTACTTGGTAAATATTTGTACTTTCTTTTCTGTCTTATCTTCCTTTCATCCTTTTTGTGTTTCTTCCTGTATCACTTTGTGTTGTAATTATTGATCTTATATGTGCAATAGAAATAGCTGATCTCTGAGGAAAGCTTACACAGTATTCATGTGGCTTTATTTGTGTAGGCTCTCCTGCAACAGCTGCAGTCGCAGTACAGAGCAATGCAGCAGCATCAGCAGATGAGGTTGCAGCAGCAACAGAGGGTTGGGGTAGTACAGTCGCAGCAACAGCAGCAGCCATCTCTGACTCAGTATGGCACCTATCAGCAGCAACAGAGTTCTGTCATCAAGACATACACCATGCCCCAGCAAACGGTTAGTTGAAGCAGAGTAGAGCATATGCAGTATCTCTCTCTATGGATAAAAATGTTATATAACAGTGGATCAGAGCTCTGAAATATGCAGTTTCAGGTTACAGTAGTAATGAAGTGTAGAATATCGCATGAACATGATTTATGAAGTAGGTTATGAATGAGCAAGTTGTCTTTTGTTTCTAATAAGAAGTAAGTAGTTTCTCTGGAATCTGCCTGTGACAGATGGGTTTCGTGTATTAATTTTTTCCATTCACCACTGATTACAACAGGCTGTATCTCAGTAAACTCTGTCCACCTATGCCTCCTGTTAATTTCAAGCACATAACACCAAAATAATGGGGTATATATGTATGCCTGATATCATAAGTCACCTGATAGAAAATAAATAGGAATATTTTGTTTAGTGGTGCAATGCCTGCCAGCTGTCATACCCTAAACATTTATGGATAACCCCTAATTATAACAAAACATAGAACTTTAGTAATACTTCTGCAGAATTCTGTTATAAGTTGTGTTTCTTTTAATAAGGAATGGATTCCTGTATTAATTTTACCATTGATTTCAGTAGACTGTTCTCTAGGTCATCTAAAATCAGTTTATTGAATGTGAGAGCCAAGATTTGAAAAATGTTCTTCAGTTTGTAGTTCACATATTTACTACCCACATATTGTCAACTGTCTGTAGTAAC